TATATATATATATATATATATATATATATATATATATATATATATATATATATATATATATATATATAGAGAGAGAGAGAGAGAGAGAGAGAGAGAGAGAGAGAGAGAGACACACACACACACACACACACACATATATCGACATAAAAAAAACACTAATCAGATTCTATAAATGGCAACAGAAACTCACGTGCGTGTACTTCTTTTTTTCTGCGGTTAATTCATCAGTCAAGCTATTCATCCTGCATGTATTGAGATAGAGAGTTGAGCTTCACTTGGAAATTAAAAGGAAAAATATATTATATAATTAGAAAAATATGGCTAGTTGAGTTATTTTGTCCACTTCTTTCTGAATCAAGGTCCCAGAACCAAACCTTGCTTGAAGTTCGGAGATCTTCATAAGCAGCATCCGTTCCCTTTCAGAAACAATTGATTCAACCTGTGCATGCATCGAGTATTTAAATGACATGCGGTACTCGAACATTAATAGTGCTATCAGGTGTTGAAATCAATTATAGATGCGAACAAGCCAAGATACTCAAATACTTGAAAACTATGTAAACTGGAGAATCGAACAGTAATAAAACCTAAAAGGCTTAAGCTAAGCAACAATTACAATCCAGTGTCAGATGATAGAGAATTAAATTAAGAATCCTAGCACAACAAAATATGCTTACACTGCCATTATTTTCTGAACCACGAGGTAAAGGAGGTAGTTTTCCATTTTGAGGAGCTGAAATAAGGCATAAATTTCAGTTAAACAAATCCAAAATCATTTTAGTTATTATGCATAAACAAATCATACATAAAATTCCGAACGCACCATTTTCAACCTCCAATGTTTGCAAGCTACCCAACAAATTCATGATAAGATCCTGTTAGTTGATATGGAAAGAAATGAGAACAAGATCGAAGAAGAATGGCAAGTCAGACTTCCTTGAGTAATGCATAAACTGTACACATTCCATTATGTGGATAATATTACAGAAATTCTTACTTGCTGAATTGATGTTTGCTGGAACAGATTCTGAAGGTGAGGCATCAGAACTGAGGGAAGAACATTACCGTTTCCGATCTCCTTCGGTGACTGGCTGGGGGGCTGAAAAGCAAGAGATGTTACATCACTAGAGCAAAAGCAAAATTTCCAATTTTTTCGAATTGATTTGGAACGAAATTGGATTATATATGTGATTCCGATTTCTGAAACAATTTTAATTATAATTTTATTTCGAAAATTATACTTGTAGTTTCAATATTATTATGTATTTATATTATAGGTGATTACAAATATGTAATTTTTAATTTCCGTCTGGTTTCTGTTCTCTGGTACAAGTTTTCGGTTTCGGTTAAAGAATGAAGTTTACTTGGAACAATAAGGAACTTAAAGATGAACGACATTTAACAGTCAAATTTCACTAGTTTGAATGCCAATTGATACAAAGAGGAGTACACGTACCGCTTGTTTAGAATCAAATATCCAGCTTCCAACACTAGCAGACTTTCTGAGTGGTGATCCCTGAAAACCACATTAACAAAAATAAATATAGAAACAGCTTCACCATCTTCTTCGAAAAGTTCACCCTAATTCCTCCCCCTCTTACCTGAGAATTTCGTCGAGAAACTGCGGATAACGGAATATCCTAGTAATATTGCTTATGTCAGCAACAGTTATTAAAAGGAATTGAATACCATAACAATTTAGTTATACCTTTACAAGATCCACATTCTCCGATGTGACAGAGAACCTCCCTTTTATTTGTACCAAATTTGTTTTTGATTTGTCCTCCATTGAATCTTTGAAGCCTTGAAAATCAAAAGAGAACATTCAATGCGATTCCAAAATTTTCCATGCATACCCGTATTTTAGGGATTGCATTAAGACTCAAATAAAAGTAATTACCTCCTGATGATTTGATTGGAGCTGATAAACTGTTTGCTGAAGCTCGGTTGGGAAAGGTTTAGAGGACCACTAAAACTGGGAGCTTTCCGTACTTGCGGAACCTTGTCAGCCACTTGGTAGTTTTCAATCTCACACCTGATGAA